CCTTGAGTGTTTCAGTGAGTTTGGACGTAGGTGTAGAAGCACTTAGGATTTCGGTTTACGTTTTGCGTCAAGTTCTTCTCAAATTTGTATTTAGACTCTCTTTGCACTTTCTGAGGGTAGTTGCGCGCTTGTTTGTAACCATTTCATGACTGGTGAGTGCCATACAGTTTACAGACCGTCCACCATCTGCGAATGGTTATAGCTCTCTCTGTGCTCGCCTTTGACCAACGAAGACATTGTTTCTATCCCAATGGAACCAAAGGCACAAACCTGTCCGTGAGTAGGAGTAGTCCTGCTTTGATATGGCTCCATCTGTTTTCCAGAGGTGCATCGGCTGGGTTGGGTGCCCAGTTTATATCCTCTGCCGCTCTGAACAGTTCGTCCCTCTTGATTCTGACATATCGCCTCACTATTTTGGCCACTGGTTTTAAGTGTCTGCTTTCTAGTGTTAGTTGCAGAACGACATGATTAATTTTCCCCAGGGGATACTCCTGGGTTGTTGTCCTTAAGTTTAAAGGGGTTCTCGTGATCACTAGATCCAATATGATCGGCTTGTCATTTGCTCTGAACCGGATGGCTCGTTACATGGGTTGTGATAATGCGTGCTGATTTAGCCACTCCAGAGGCAGTTCTTCTCCAGTACCGGCCGGTGCCCTGTCTCTATTCCAGTTAATCTCTGGCATGATGAGGTCCCCTACTAACAATATCCTTCTTGAAGTAGGGAGGAAAATTTGCAGCTGAGCAATCAATTCCTGAACTTCTGTTACATTCACCTGCGAATCCCGGTATACGCACAAGACCGCTAATGCTTTTCTGTCTATTTTGAACCAGACAACTGATGGCTTGTATGTTGGGAATCGTTTGGGCTACTATTGCCTCCCCTGCCTGTTGTCTGGCTTTGCCATCTGCAAAACCTCTCCTCATTGCGTGGCATTCATTCTACCTTGTCTATAAGTTGTGTAGTCATCCATCTCTGGTGCCTCCGCATCCAAGATTCAGTTACGGTCACTATGTCTGTACTTTAGATGCGCCTTCTCACCTCTTCCCAATTATTCCGTATACTGCAAGCTTCGACGTACCACAGTGTGTTTTGTCTGCTTGAACCTGCCTGCTTTATCGGGAACTCATTTCGATATGATCCTCGTGTATAATGCCCAAAGTGTTACTCCGTTTTTGGGGCTCTTCGCCTGTAGTCGTCCCTTCTACTTCCCAAGCCATTCCTATTTTCTCTCTGGACATGATTTTTATCGTCAGTCCAAAAGCTTCCTCGATCAACATACTTACATCCTCGTTCTTTTTTAGAGTACTTAATCTCCGTTGTAATCAGAAATTTGAAGATTTTGCAGAAACTGGGGAGTTTGCTGCTATTGTCGTCCGATTAACTGGTTCGTCACAGCTCACCGTGGCTTCCTTCTGCGCAGTGGTAACTGCAACCAAGTTTCTTAGTTGCGGTGTTCTATCTTGCGTGCGTGACCGGTCGGACCTAATCTTGCGGACCGCGGCGGTGCTGTCTTCTGTGGGCCCATTCCTACATGTGGTTTTTTAGGTTGGTTCTTGGACGCTTTTGGTGTGGATTTGTTTGAAGACTCTCCAGTCCTTGGCAAGGAAAGTACTACGTTTTACTGTGATTGGCGCTTACATTAGGCCCTCTTCTATATGGGTGAATCACTCTGACAGGTCTAACGGAGTGACTATTATACGCCCCTGAGTTAGATCCTCGCAGTGCGTTTGGTCAGCCTTAGACCAGAGCTCGGCCCACTTCTTCATTAGGCTGCAGGCGCTAGTGTAGTAAACACTGAGAGCCTGCGCCCTGTTGCTTTGAGGGTTCGCACCTGGGAGTTTCCTCCGGGTGAAATTCGGGTTTTTCACCTCGGGTCTGGTGGTAGAGTTTCCCTGTGTGTCATACGCCATATTGTGGTCTTCGTACCCTATAGATTCATCTTTCGGGTATGACCTGGATGCTGGGGTCGTTTTCCTGTCCGGGTTCGCGTGCTTCCCTCTCGCTGCGTGAACGAACAGAAGCTTGGTGCTAAATTCCTGCCTGCAGCTAGGTGGGGTGGTAAGGGGATAGGTGCTTGTTGATCGCTCTATCACTTCTCTAGTTGCAGCACTAGCCTAATCTGCACCTCTGATGGGACATGAGCGAGCCGGATTATGTTTCCTACTTGGTGTAGGAGCGTTTGCCTGCGGCTGCGCGTTTCTCTACAAAACGGCTCAGGGATGCCCCTGATAACTACATTTCTGTTTCTCCCTATTCTATGTTTTACTGGGCCTCAAGCCTATGCAGAGAGTCTCTCAAGCTGGTTGTTTGTTTGGATACCTTTGCAATGGCCTCCTCGTGAACGTCCGTGCGGGCATCAAGTGCCCATTTCCCTGGTAGCATTGAGTAGCCTTCCCTGCCTGTTTCCGGCGGCCTGCACTCTAAGCTTTACGATTGCCGATTTGGCAACGCGTGCCTTGGGGCTGGACTTTGCCCCTCGGCTTAGGGGTGCCGCTGACGTGGTTTGTTGTTTTTTACGCTCAGGGTTCCCCAGTAAAATTTACTTTCTGTCATTAACTACTTCATACTGGTTTCCCTCCCCAGGCATCAGAGTCCCTAGCTAGGGGTTAATGCTTTTTATCTCCCCATTCGGGGTCGAGTTACACGGAGGAGCTTGTACTGTCATCTGTGAATGAGCGTTTCCCTTCGGTGGTAGGTTTTGCCCAGGATAATCCGATAGAGCTGATGCAGTTTGGACAAACCCATTTCAGAAGCTTGTGGACAACATAGTGTTCAAATACCTTGGAAGTTAGTTTACTGCACCGTTGGTGAAGCCAATCCCGGCGCAGGTCACAACATATGCCCTCAACTACCGCGAGAGAATACTCTCTTCTGGCACATGAGTAGGGTGCAATAACCTGCTTGGCTCCTGTAGCCTCTTTAGGAGGATTTCTCTGAGCTACCATGGCACCAGTCTAGATACGCTTCACGACAATGTCCGGTAAAAGGGAGTGTGTGTAAAGATGAAAGCCCTACACAGAAGCGATAACGACCAAGGATATGTAACCCTGGATAGTGCTATCGGCGGTAAATGTTGTAGGCAAGTCGCTCTCCCGGACGGGAATTCGTCACATTGGTCTTGCCATCCGGGTTCCGCTCAGTTGTGGCGCCTGGATCCAGATTTCCGATCTCCAGCACGGAAGGCCCGGTACAAATTGCGTTTTCACAAACTGTCCTACAGTAATATGAACTCTCAAGTGTTTCCTCCTCTTATTGTCGGCCTCATTCTAAAGCAGAACGTTCTACTCGAAAATTTGAAGCAAGCGCTCAAGGTCAAAGTGAGCGTGCTGTTCCTATCCAGACTCATTTTCTTCCGTTCCGATTTCTTGAATTACGCTCACGGTAACACTTTACTCTTGTTTTCAAATTTTTTCGAGATGTTTCGATACATTCCGAACGTTGTTCGGGTTTGACACGTTGTTTCGAGATCATTTTGAGGTTTTGACATATTTGTTTGCTTATTTGATCGTCTAATAATGCAGTACCGTAGAAACTTGCTGAATTGTTCCTTTTGTTGACGCTTTGGGATTCGATTTCGGCTACGCGTTACTAGTTGATATATTTGGGAGGCACAGTACTCAAAGTGTGCACAATTTGAAACAAGAGAATGTCGTTTGAACAAGGAAATATTGAAGAGAAAGGACAGGAAGTATCCGTGCAAGTCACTGGGTAATTCGAGGGGTTTCCGATTCTCATATTTTTGATTCAGTTACTCATTTTAGTGCTAGGAGTTCATGTGCTCTAGAATGTGATGCTGATGGTAAGATGTCTTATATATATCTCCGTAAGATTATATAGTTAGAGCAGGAGATTAAGTCGATGAAGCTCAAGGAATCAGTAGCTAGACAACCTTGCTCGATTAAGCAAGCCGCGACCGAAAAATAAACTCTGTTCATTAGATTGACGCCGGAAATAGCTCGACCACAGATTGAAGTCATGTACCGCCACATGTCGATAGACCTGCTCAAGTTGAAGCTAACGTCATTTGACGGGAACCCTTGCAACTATTGGAGATTCATTAGGGAATTTGATAATTTCGTCGAGTGTAGGGCCACCGATCCAGGGCAGAAGTTCCTGTATCTAAAGCATTACTGCCACGGGAAGGCCCGGGACGTTATCGAAGAGTGTGTAGTGCTGCCAAACTAAATTGGGTATAACCGAACAAGGGACATTCTGAATTAGCTCCTTGGTCAATCGTTCCACGTGGCACGGACGGTCATAGATGGGGTGCTGGCCAAGGCTTGTAAAGCGCGAAACGATCTCGAATCGTTGATGAGACTGGTAATGAAGATGTAAAACTGTTTCATTGCTCCGTATCAAGCGAACTACGAAGCTGGTTTGAACGCACCACACACCTTTATGGTAATAGTACGATGCACGCCGGCTGACATACAGCAATGATGGGCGGAGGAGGCAGTATTGGCCGTTTATGAGGGAACTGATTTTCACCGATCTAACGAAATTAATCCGAAACCATGTCAAGGTCGCCAGCACTGGCTTCGGACAATTCGCCAGCACGAGCAACCGGGATGAATGACAGCACACCAAAGAACGAACCTGCGAGATCCCGAGAAGTTCTAGGAACGCGAACAACTATGTGACAGTAGGGGAACGTGGCACGCCCAGATCTCCTATGTGTCGTTTGAACCACTAGTTATCTGCGTGCGAGAAATTTATGCAACTAGAAGTTCCGGACCGTTGGGAAGCAGCCAAGAAGCACGGGGCATGCTTTATTTGTTTGAATGACTCACATCGTGCGGCTGCTTGTAAGAACCGTGGCAGATGCAGGGAAACGGGGTGTCAAGGAAGCCACCATACTCTCTTGCATACTATAAGAGAAACTCAGCTGCCGGCACTCCAAAAACCCAGTCTATGTCTATTATCTTAGTCGGCAAACAAGCAGGTCCGTCTTGGGATAACACCAGTGGGTATAATAATATCCAGTGGGGTGGGGAAGGTGATGGTGCTCATCGACAATGGATCCGATAGCACTTTGATCACCAAACGCTTCGCCATAAACCTTAACATCACCACCCGGCCATCTTCCCTGACGATCAGCACGGTAAAAAGCACCAAGGTGACGTCCGCCTATCAAGCAAACGTGATGTTGGTTTCACTAGATAATGATGAACGAGAAGAGGTGACGGAAGCTTTCGCCATAGCCGACTTGCCTATGAGAGCAGTGGAATCGATCAGGGAATTAGCAGCGCTATGGCCGCACCTGCGAGACTTGTGTTTTGAAGAAATCGACTCTCCCGAAGTCGATTTGCTAATAGGGTATGACGTGCCCGAAGCATACTGGGTCCTCTATCAGAGACTTGGCGGCAGGAAAGAACCATATGGCGCTCGTACCATGTTCGGTTGGACGTTGTTTGTACCGCTTCACACGACAAATCGTAAACCGTTATCCGTTAACTTCACCACTACTACTGCTGGCAACTATACGATCGAACAAGCACTCCAAAGGATGTATGATAATGAATTCGATGATTTGAACGACCAGAAAGAGGGGCCGTTGCGAAGAAGACAACCAGACGTTAGCAATAGTCCAAACAGGGACGTGGTGCCTGCCCGACCGGTTCGAGGTGCCGTTGCCATGAAGGACGGGATACGACCGTTTGCCGAACAATCACGGGATAGCCTTAAAAGGGTCAGAGTACTTTAAAAGGCGACTGATCCGCGACACAGACTTCCATCGACAATACGCCGCGACAATGCAACAGAACGTTCAACTGGGATACATAGAACGGCGGGACGTCTCAAAACCACTCGGGCAAAGACTGTGGAACTTGCCACATCACTCGGTACCAATCCCAGAAAGCCAGGGAAGATACGCGTAGTATTTGACTGTGCGGCGCGATACGGCGCTCTCTCTCTTAACGGTTGTCTGTTTCAGGGGCCAGACTGGACAACCCCCTTGATTGACATACTAAGCCGATTCCGGTTAGGAACAATGGCAGTGGCAGCCAACATACAAGCAATATTCCTCCAAATCAAGATACCAGAGGGTCGGCGCGACGCCCTGCGATTGCTTTGGTGGCCCGATGGTGACTTGCAGAACCCGGCGGTTGACTATAGACTGACCGTTCATCCATTCGGAGCGGTTTCTTCGCCCGTCTGCGCAAACCTCGCACTCCGATGGACAGCTTCGCAATACGGAAGCAACTTCCCGGACTCGATGTCAGCTAGCGTTGGGAATAATTTCTACTTCAATGACTCCTTGGGCGTCTTTGACGACATAAGAGAATCCTCCCGACACGTAATGCATCTAAAGTATCTACTGGAGAAAGAGGAGTTCCTTTTAACCAAACGGTTATCTAACTCAAGTTTAGTTTAAGATAACGTTCCTGGAACTGACAGAGCGAGTGGAGCTCTCAACCTGATCACACAGCCACTCCCTATCGAGTCGAACTTTCGACTAAAACTACCCGAGAGGAATCCCACCCGACGAGGGCTGCTATCGTCGGTTTCCAGTTTGTATGACCCGCTTGGTTTTGTCGCGCCGTGACTTTTGCAGGGGAAAGTCCTTCCTCAACAACTTTGTCAAAAAAGGACAGAGTCAGATCAACCCTTAGACTAGCAGGACCGAACGGATTGGGAGCAATGGTTGACCAGCCTCATTACCCTAGGTGTGATACGGATCCCGCGCCGACTCAAAGTAGTCAAGCGACGAAGGGTGAACTGCATCTATTCTCCGACGCGTCCGAACCGGGATGCGGAGCAGCAGCCTGCGTATATTGGCAGCACGTCAACGGCGAGCAAAAGACGGAATTCCTTTTTGCTAAAGCCCAGGTCGCCCAAATAAAATACGTTACGATACCCCACCTCGAACTGAATGCAACTTAATTTGGTAATTACTTTTATAAGTATTGTGACCCATCTTTCTTTACTCTTGCCCATCCGCTCAGGTTTTCCTCTGACTTAAGGAGGGATTGTGGTGCTAGTGAATCGGTTGGGAAGAGTGGTACGGGGGCTTTGCCGAGTAAACCGTTCCGATGTGGCTTGGGATCAGGGGGCGTCTTGCGGTTAATCTTACTCGTGGGGGTGAGGGGTCTTGGTGTCCCAGGTCACCCCATCCACGCCCACTGTTGACAGTATTCCATGGAACTCATAGCAGAGACATGCTTCCGGCAAGAGCAGCTAGAGTGGAACTGATCACTAGGGGCAATTGAGCATCACAACGGATTCTCC